AGAAAGAGGCCTGGGATCATCCCTGGAATCCCTGCGGAAGATTAAAATCGTGTCTGCTCCTGAGAACGAAACCTAAGGAGCAGGTCGAGTTGGCGACAGTACAGGTCAAGACGGAGGATAGTATTAAAGTTAAGAGATGCGTTCATGGGCCAGACTTCCCGGTCCCCAGTTTGTATGGAGGCCAGGCGGTGCTGCAATAGAAAACCGAGCACTTGGGCTTGAGGTTGTAAGTCCCAGAGCCTTCAAGTGCCGATGTGGACATCCCACTGGGGAGTCCTGGGGCGGGGCGGACGGAGTGTTGCCCATGGTAACCGGGAAGGCCATCTCAAGGTCCAGAACAAACTCCAGGTGGGCGGGGTAAGGTTTGAGAAGGACGTCGCCAACTCCAACGACCTGGAGGTCAGAGGCCAGAGCCGAGAGTCCTGGAGCCCACGGGCAGACCGAGCACCAGGTTCCCTCCCAGAGCCAGACATCCCTGGACCAAACCAGCAGGGAGACATTTGGAGGCATCCGTCCCTCCCAGCCGAAACCCTGCGGAAGTGACAGACCCAGGACCCGGGTTTTACATGAGGACAGTGAGAGGAGCAGATAAGCTATCACTTTCGATGGGATGTTGTCTTCCCAAGATTGGCCTCGAGCAGGAGTGAGAAGGAGGCTGCCCGCAGAGTTCAGAGAGATGGGGAAGGATTAGAATCCTCCCTCTGAACCTCGCAGAGACAGGGTTGGGGGCTTAGCCCGGGTCGAGCTTCCGCTGCCCACTGCCCCCCTAGTTGCACGTCTCAGGAAGCCGGAGGAGGGGGAGGCATACAGAAGGTCCCCTTACGGGCCACCAACAGGTTAGGGTGGTCAGTGGCATGCACTGTGAAAGATTTCACAAAGAGAAGAAAGTGCAGAGCGTGAAAGCTTTCACTTTTACTTTCCCAAGGGAGAGAAAGGGCTAGCTTCTGAGAAATGCACCAGCACCTGCCCCGATGGGTTGGGATGCTGAGCTTTTATTAGGCGATTGGCTGGTTCCCGAGCAGGATGTTGCAGTTGGTCTCGTATGGGCTGCAACTTGCTTCGATGTTATCTGTGTGGGAGCTGGGACTGGGCTTGCGCTTGCACTGGTACGTCCTGTTTTGTAAGTTCCCGGAGCCTCTGTGCCTTCAGGGAGCTTCCTGTGATTTTTTCCAGCCCTGAGGATAAAGGCTCATACAACAATCAGGGTCAGTCATGCCTTCTGGGACGCAGCCAGCTCTGGCAAAGAGGGCCTGAAAGGGGATTTTTGACTGATTAATAGTTTCTATCTCTTTATGTTTCTGCTAAGTTCTGAATAGTCTCTTCAACTATCTCTTTCAATTCACTCATGCTTCTTATAGCTGTGTCTAATCTATTTACTCATTCTCTGAATTTTTTTTCATTTTAATATCAATAACTTTTCTAGAAATTCTATTTCTTTTCAAATGTAACCATTCTCCCCTGCCCCGCCTGGAGTCCCGTATTTCATTAGGACTCTATTTCTTTAATCATTGAAAGATCAGTCCCTGCCCTGGCTGGCATGGATCAGAGGACTGAGTGCCGGCTTCTGAACCAAAGGTTCTCTGGTACGATTCCCAGTCAGGGCACATACCCAAGTTGCAGGCCACGTTCCCCAGTAGGGGGCGCTTGAGAGGCAACCACACATTGATGTTTCTCTCCCTCTCTTTCTCCCTTCCTTCCCCTCTCTCTAAAAATAAATAAACAAAATCTTTTTTTAAAAAAAAAAGAGTTCCTTTGCTGTTTCTGACAGGTCGTTCTAGCGGATCCTTGGGGTGCTTGTTCTCTTATTGGCTGTGTGTGTTAGACCCCTCACATGGTGGATGGTTTCCTTGCGTGGTTTGTGGTTTTTGGTTACTTGGGAGCTTGTCTTCAGGGGCATTTGTTTTGTCTGCAAACAGACCCTGGTTTCTGGGTCCCCTCCGTTTCCCCAGAGGACGGTTTTGCACGTACTCCCACCAGGAAACCCGGGGTTGCACCCCGTCCGCCTCGGAACGCGCAGGGTTCGGTTTCAGCCTCCGCCCAGGAAGCCATGCACTGCGCCGCCGCCGCTGCCGCCGCCGGCGGTGTGCGCAAACACTTCAGAGCTGCCTGCCTGTACGGGGGCGTGGCTTTTCACTCGATACCACCCCGGCAACAGTGCTTGTGACTTCCTTTGGTGGGTAAAGTTTACACTCTCTTGAACTGAGGGGAGATATTTTCATCCCTTCTCCCCCTCTCAGTCTTCCGTTCCGAGGCCGCGAGAACCCCGGGCCGGCGTGGCTGGATCCCACATCCTGGGCGCCATCTCTCTCCGGACCACTGTGCTTACAGCTTGGGCTCTCGGTTCCCTCTTGCCTCCAGCATCTGGGATCGTCCCTTTCTTAAATAAAGCCTTACATTTTAAAGCAGCCACTGGATCAATTTATTTTATTTTATTTTATTTTTTAGAGAGAGGTGAGGGGAGGGAGAAAGAGAGGGAAAGAAATATTAATGTGTGGTTGCCCCTCATGTGTCCCCTCCTGGGGACCTGGTCCACCCACAACCCAGGCATGTGCCCTGACTGGGAATCGAACCAGCGACCCTTTGATTCACAGGCCAGCACTCAATCCACTGAGCCACACCAGCCAGGGCCACTGGGTCAATCATTTGATGGAGAGAGGTGTCCTTGAGCCCATCCCAACACTCTACTCATGGGGGGCTTTGCTGAGCAGCCCAGGCCACCTTCGGCCACACTCCTCACCCCCTGGCTGCCCGCCCCTTTCCTGTTCTGTCCCCGCTCCCTCCACGGGGCCTTGGCACAGGCCCAGAATGCTTTCCCTCTCCCTTCCTGTGTCTGATTCCTCCTCATTCTCTGGGCAAGCCTTCCTCCCCTCCCCCCAGCTAGGTTAGATCCCCTCTCCAGGGTTCCCAAACCGTAGCCTGGGGCATCTCTCCTTTAAGTGCTTCTCAGGTGCCCTGGCTGGCATGGCTCCGTGGATTGAACGCAGGCCTGATGTAAGGGTTTGCCAGTTTGATTCCCGGTCACGGCACATGCCTGGGTTGCGGGCCAGGTCCTCAGTTGGGGGCGAGCCAAGAGACAACCTATCCATGTTAATCTCCCTCTCTTTCTCCCTCCCTTCTCTTCTCTCTAAAAGTAAATAAATAAGTAAACCTTTAACAAAATAAATAAATAAGGTGCTCCTCAGTGGCCATTTCACATCTACCTCTGGGATTATCTGAGAGACACTGAGCTTCCGAAAGGTAGAGACCACGTGTCCGGCTCTCAGCTCTACCCTGCTCCTGCCCACCCAGGGCGGGAGCCCGTCAGTGTTCCATGGCCATCAGTGTGTCAAAGAAACAGCAGCAGCTTCGGAGCTCTGCGTGGGGTAGATCCTGGTCTAAGCTCTTTCTCTCATTCGGTCTTCACTATTAGCTACGAGGTAGGTGCCCTTATCATCCCCGTTGCGCAGATGAAGGAGGTGAGGCCCAGAAGGCTCAGTAGGGGCGTCCTTACCGTGCCCTGACTGGTGGGCAGGGTGAGGGATTTCTTCGCTCTCACACAGATGAGCAAGCCAAGGGCCACTGCCCTGGATTGAGTGTCGGCCTGTGAGCCCCTCAAAGGGTCACTAGTTTGATTCCCAGTCAGGGCACGGGCCTGCACTGCAGACCAGGTCCCCAATAGGGGGCACAGGAGAAGCAGCAACAACCACACACTGATGTTTCTCTCCCTCTCTTTCTCCCTCCCTTCCTCTTTCTCTAAAAATAAACAAATAAAATATTTTTTTTAAATTTTATTTGTTTATTTTTAGAGGGGAAGGGAGGGAGATAGACAGAGAGAGAGAGAAACATCAATGTGCGGTTGCTGGGGGTCATGGCCTGCAATCCAGGCATGTACCCTGGCTGGGAATCAAACCTGGGACACTTTGGTTCCCAGTCCATGCTCAATCCACTGAGCTATGCCAGCCAGGGCTAATATCTTTTTTTTTTTTTTAAGGAAAAAAAAAAAACAACAAACAAGGGCCAGAGAGGGCAAGAGTCACACCCAGGTCACAAGGAAATTGAGGGTGGGGTGGGACCTAGGGCTGGAACCTCAGAGCTGCTTCCTCTTTTCCTAGCCCTGGAATCCCAGAATTGGCCCTGTTCCTCCAATGGCAGTGGCCACAGCTGCTCTGAGGGCTGCCTGTCCTGGCCATGGGACCCCCCTCCTCTCCTGCCCTGTCTCCCACGGCTTTTCCTCGGCTTCCTCCCCAGCCAGGCCCGAGTACCTGTCCACTGCCTCGAGATGCCTACGATCTCCTGTCAGGACAAAGGCTGCCGTGGTCCCTTCTCCCTTGATGACGGCGGGAAAGCTGTTTCACTTTCAGGGTGTCCCCTGGAGGTGCCTGCCTAGAAGACCTTCCCAGCAGACAGACTTGTCCACAGGTGCATTCGCCCTCTGCAGGAGGGGAGCTCCATGTCATTGTGCAGATGCCACAGGCCAGGGAGGGAGGCTGTGGGAAGGCTTTGAAAGGGCAGCTGGACCACTGGCCATTGGGGACTGCCATCAACCCCCTCCTGGGGGTGACGTCTCACCTTTCTCCTTGTCCCCCTGGTCCCCTTTGTTCCATCACTTCCTCATCTCTGCCTGTTTCCCTTGTCTGACTTGGGCAAGTTCCTGCACCTTTCTCCCCTCTGGGCCTCAGTTTGCTCATCTGCAAAATGGGGTAATACTCGCACCTGTATATGTAGGGTTAGACTGAGGATCAGATGAGATGCACCAGTAGGTAGGGTCTGGCACCAGGTAGAGGGCCCAGAGCTGCGTTAATGAGACCCACTACTGTCCCCTCCTTTCATTGTAGAGAGCAGCACAGGACAGGACACAGGGCTCCTGGGTACTCAGTGTCCTCCGCCGCACAGCCAGCATGTGCACTTACCCCATCCTGTCCCACCTCCCCTTCCTCTCCAAGGGGGCGGGAGAGCTAAATTCAGCCCCGGTCGCCCTGACCCCATCCCACAAGCGCGCCCGCCCCGGGTGAGCCAACCCTTAACCGCTTCAGTTTGGCGTGTATGAGAGGGTCCTGCGCCCAGCCGCGTCCCTTGGGGCTGTCTCTGGATCCCACAACGGTCACCAAACCCCAGGAGGCCCCGACGCGCTGGCTGGTGCCCGAATCCCCACCCCCGCGGGCGGACTGGCACTTTGAATCCACGTGATTTCCCGGCAGCAGCAGCCGGCTCCAGGCGCAGGGCTAGCTGTGTGGCTGGAGGTGCCTACTTTCAGTTTCGTGTAGAGCGCGGCGCGGTGAGGAGCGCAGCTGGTGAGGCTGGTGAGTGCGGGCAGAGGCCGAGGGCGCGGCAGTCCGCGGGGCGGGAGGGTCGAGTGGTTGCGCAGTCGGGGTGCGAATGCCGAAGCGAGTGGGGAAGAGGGCATGCGGGGGGCTCTGGAGTGGGAGGGAGGTCCCGGTGGCCATCGGGTGAGGTGACCAGGTGGGTGGCCAGCTAGACACGGACGGAACTGACGGGACAGACAGAACTGACAGGAGACACAGGGACGCCGGTTGATGGGACTGACGGATACCCACACCAGCGGGACCCGACCGACGTCCCGATCTCCGTTTGGGCAGAGGGGAATCCCATGGCCGGGGCAGTGCGCCGCTTGCTGCCCCGCGGAGTTCGGGGAATGAGTTACGAGCAGGGAGGACAGCGGTCGAGGTGACCCAGGGCGCAGTCCATCCGCCGCCGCGCCCCCTTGCCGTCCCTGCCTCCCCACCCTCAAAAGCTCCTGTCACTCCCTGGAGCGTCAGCTTTTAATCGCTTTCTAAAGAGTTACAGACGTAACACTGCTCATTATGCACAATGCAGACTTTTTTTAGCCTAAAAAGCTTTTTTTTTTTTTTTTTTAATGGACAATTCTAAACGTATGCAAAAGTAGGAGGAATACGGGCGGGCAGAGCCGCAGGTATTTGCTGGGATGGATGTGACTGAAACACTGGACCAACGGCCACACTTCAGCCGTCACCCAACCGGGACCGCCCGGCTTCCTCTCCACCACGCCTTGTTTTTAACTGAATGGAATACACACATCAGAGCATCTCCACCGAGATGTTTCAGAATGCACTGAGAGATGAGCCCTTTTAAAAACGAAACCGTCGGCATGCTTTAAATATTTTAACAATAATTCCTTCACGTCGAACTGTCCAGGCTATTTCTAATGAGTGTTCGAACCTTGTCAGTAATAGGCGAATGCGTGCTCATCATTTCGTTACTTGCGTTGTGCACTTCCATGCACACGCTTTTTATTTTTGAAAGCCATTTTTCTCTCTTGGGAGGCCAGGACCTGGAATTTGCTGGGGTGGCCATTTGGCACCTGCATGGTAGGTGGAGAGAGGGGGCTCTCAGCACCTTGTATTTGCTGGGTGATGGTGGACTCACTACCCCACACCTCAGAGATATTTCGGTCTGGTTCCAGACCACTACAATAAAGCAAATGTCTCCATAAAGCAAGTCACACACCAGTTTTGGTTTCCCAGTGCATACAAAGGTTAGGTTCACACTATACTGTAGTCTATGACACGGACAATAGTATTATGTCTTAAAAAAATCAATGTACAAGTGTCGCAGGTTCAATTCCCAGTCAGGCCACATACCTGGGTTGCAGGCCATGGCCCCCAGCAACCGCACATTGATGTTTCTCTCTCTCTCTCTCTCTTTCTCCCTCCCTTCCCTCTCTAAAAATAAATAAATAAAATCTAAAAAAAATCAATGTACATACCTTAATTAAACAATACTTGAGCCCTGATGGGTGTGGCTCAGTTGGTTGGGCATCCTCCCACAGGGCGGGGGCATCATTGGTTTGGTTCCCAGTCGGGGAGCATGCCAGGTTGCAGGTCCCCTCCCTGGGAGGTGGCTCATCAGTGCTTCTCTGGTACATCCATATTTCTCTCCCTCTCTTTCTCCCTCCCTTCCCCTCTCTCGAAAAATAAATAAAAATCCATTGTAAAAAAGTACTTGAGCCCTGGGTGGTAAGGCTCAGCTGGTTGGAGCATCGTCCCATAAACCAAACGGTGGCAGGTTCGATTCCCGGTCAAGGCACATGCCTAGGTTGCAGGTTCAGTCCCGGCTAGGGGAGGTCAGAGTGTGCACGAGAGGCAACTGATCCAGTTTCTTGCATTTATCTTTTTCTCCTTCACTTTCTCCCTCCCTTCCCCACTCTCTAGCATGTCCTCAGGTGAGAATTAAAAAAACAAAACAAAACAGAAAACTTGACTGCTAAAAATGCTATGTGCCCTTGGCGGGCAGTGACCTTATTGCTGGGGGAGGGGCTTGCTTTGATGTTGGTGACAACGCAGGATCTTTGCCTTGGGATGAAAAAGGAAGCGCGGGAGACAAGGCATGACCGTATTTCATCGCTCGGAGCCTCACTTTCTGTCCGTAGAATGGGGGTTGATAGTATGTCCAGCAAAGCGCATTTCGTGGGTTGCGAGAGGTGAGTGTGAGGTGCGCCCAGCACACGGGCAATCGTAAGTGCCGCGTGAGCACAGTGGGCCCTTGATGGAGGCGAGGGAGCCGAAGGGCAAGTTCTTGGTGAGTCTCACGCTCAGCTGAGCCTGCTGCTCGGTCACATACGGAGGTGACTGGGTGTATGCAGGGCCAGGTCAGTCCCCTCGCACCCCAACACAAATACCCCAGCCCTGCCCTGCCTCGCCCCTCTGAGGAAAGGGCAGCAGAACTGCTTAGTAGGTCTCTTCCCATCTGTTGTGGATTAAATCTGTGTCCCTGGAAAAGACGTGTTGAAGTCCCAACCCCCGGAGCCTCAGAATGTGGCTTTGTGTGGAAATAGGGTCTCAGCCAATGTGACTAGTTAAGGCAAGGTCCTACCGGAGCAGGTAGGCGGGCCCTTAATTCAGTACGGCTCCTGTCTGCCAGAGGGAAAGGTAGATATGAAGACAGAGACGTTCAGGAAGGATGCCACCTGACCCCGGAGGCAGCGGTGGGAATGAGGTGTCTGCAAGCCAAGAACTGCAGGAATTGCTGGCGCCCAGGAGAAGCCAGCAGAGGCCAGGGAGGGCCCTTCCCTAGAGCCTTCACAGGCACCAGGGCTCTGCCATCACCTTGACTTCAGACTTCTGGCCGGCCTCCATGAGGCAATATGTTTCCGTCACTTTATTGCATCCGGTTTTATGGTCCTTTGTTACAGCCGCGACAAAGCTAGGCCCCACTGACTCACCATCCTGGACTCTCCTCTGCCTTCCGCACAGAGCTGTCCTACCGACTAAGCAAATTAATACCAGTGCTGATTCTTTGTGAAAACTTCTCGTGGGTGTTCTGAGGATGTGAACTACTGGTTTTCTTTGCTGGGTTTATTGTCTGAGTGTTGGCTGGCTGGTGACGCAAACGTTACCTTGGCTGAAACTCGGTCTGCAAGATGTCAATGTAAGAAATGTCTAGACCTGTAGAGAATTTGGGGGTTTTTTTTTTGAGCCAAACCAACAACAGTTGCTGGAAGCAAAATCTCAGTGAACTGAGAAAATGCTCCGAAGCTTTTGCAGCCTATTTTATGTCCTAAAATCAAAGGAGCAGATGGTAGGAGGGTTACGTGAACTCCACTGGTGGTAGATTAGGGAGGTAGGAGAAAGCCAAGGGGGAAACCTCTGGGGTTGAATAAAAAGTGAAACAGAGAGACAAATACCTCTTTGACATTGGTGGGTGCGGGATGGTTAATATACACAGCGCGTAGTCCTGGTTGGTGTGGCTCAGTTGGTTGGTGTGCCCTCCCGTAGACCGAAAGGTCTGGAGTTCAATTCCCAGTCAGGGCACACACCCAAGTTGTGGGTTCGATCCTTGGTTGGGGCACGTTCAAGAAAACAGCATATTGATGTTTCTTACCCTTTCTCTCTCTCTCTAAGAAGCAATGGGAAAAAATGTCCTTGGGTGAAAATAAAAAATGAGCGTATGATTTTTATATGTGTCTTTAAGGAAAACATACAGGAGTAGATTTGCAAGGTCAAGGGAAATACACAGTTTGAACTTTGATAAAATAGGAAATTAGCCTCCTAAAGTGTTGTACTAATTTTCACTCCACACCCTTCCCAACAAACTTTTTGCCTTATCAAACTTTTCCATATTTGCCATCTGGGAGATGAATAATGGTATCTGTTTTTTCCCTGTTTCTCTTCCCATGAGAGATGTTGGGCATCTTTTAAAATATTTAAGGGTCGCTCATAGTGCCTTTTCCATAAACTGTTCATATCCTTTGTCCACTTTTCCATTGGGTTGTTGGTCTTTTTCCTATTGAGCTGTGAAAGCACTTTCTATATTAAGAAATTAGCTCTTTGTCTGTAATGTAAGCACACCGTCATTTTTAGTGGCTGCTTTGTTGTCCAGAGAATGGCTGAACCACCTTCACCTTTGTTAAACATTTAGATGACTTCTTGGTTTTCCTGTTTTGTATAAAAAACAAGATGTGACTTCTCACTTCCCTCTCTTGGCAGCTCCTCTCAGGGAAGGAATTCTTTTTGGGAAAAGATCTCGATAGGGTTGGGGTGGGTGTGGCCGGTGTGCAAAGTGGTCGGCAGGAACCAGGATTTTTCTCGGGGGGCACAACTCTTCAGTGACCAAGTGTGTGGGATGAGGGGCTATATTTGCTCCTAAAAGGAAGGGAGGAGGGGGAGAAGGGGAGCGAGGCTAGACCACACAGGGAGGAGACCCCCTAAAACTTCTCGGTGGAAGGATGGCCAAAGGGCAGCTTCAGTCCAGTGCGGCCCCTGCTCCATGGGAAGCGGGTCCGGGCAACCCAGACCCCACTGGGGCTCCGCCCTGCAGTCATTTACCTGCTCCATCTGCTCCGTTTCTTCAACATGACAAGCCCTGTGACCAGAGCTGGCAACAGCTGGGAGCTTGACAAAGTCCCCACCCCCTGGAGCCGAAGTGCCAATAGCAGCAGACAGAAACAAGTACAGCGAGATGTGTGGTAAACATCAGGTGGTGGGGACGCCCTGAAGAAAGACCAGGTGGGAAGCAGGGGAGGGGACAGGTGGAGGGAGAGGTCAGGCCTTGCCTTCTGCTGGGAAAATGGGGGGCTGCTGGAAAAGGGAGCCGTGCACCGTGATGGTGCCTGGAGAAAGAGGGAGCCAGGCAGAGGCGATGGGAAAAAAGAGGAGGGGAGGGGGCAGTGGAAAAAGGGGAGGAGGAGAGGTAGGGGAGTGTGAGGAGGAAGGTGAGGACTGGTGACTTCCTGTGACTGAATAGTTTGCATGTAATTTAACTAAAGGCTGGAGGAGACCACACCTTCGCCTTCACAACCCCCCAGCCCTCCCCTTCGGGGAGG